ATGTTGAAACTCATGACAACCCTATCCCCCTAGAATCCTACACCATGACACAAGGGAAGGTGTGGGCGGTCATTTGTCAACCCGGAAAGCTTTTTATTATTATAAATTTAAAAGAGTGTGATAATTGACCGTCCCACACCTGCCACGAAAATTAGACTTGTTAATTCGATCCGCCGCTGACCTCAGAGTGTTTTGTAAGAAGGCTAACAAGCGTAAACTTTTGTCTGCCTGAAGTATTTAATTTACAAATGCTTTTTGCAAAGTAAAAAAACTAAATTCAATTCTATTTAATAGAGTGACTCAGTGGCCTCCGGCTACTATTAAAAAAATAAATAAATAAAAACTATCTATTTTTTTTACATATATAAATTGATCGAATGTACAAATGCCTTTGGTATTTTTATTTCTTAATAGAATTTTATTACAATTCTATTTAATAGAGTGACTCAGTGGCCTGCGGCTATTTAAAAAGTTTGAAAAAAACTATTTTTTCTGTACAAAAGCCTTTTGTAAAGTAAACATAGATAATTTGTAAAAAATAAATCAAAATCAATTCATTTCTTTAAATTTACAAATGCCTTTTGTAAATAAACAAAAACAATACAATTCCATTCAATAGAGTGACTCAGTGGCATCCGGCTATTTAAAAAATTAATAGCTTAAAAAACATAGATAAAATCAATAAAAATAAATCAAAATCGATCTATTTTTTATTTACAAATGCCTTTTGTAAATTGAAAACGTACAACAAATACAAAAAATAAATCAAAATCTATTAATATTTTAATTTACAAAAACCTTTTGTAAATAAAAACAATTATAGTTAATAGAGTGACTCAGTGGCATCCGGCTATTTAAAAAATTAAATTAAAAAAATAAATAAATAACATCAACAAAATAAATCAAAATTGATTTATTTTTTAATTTACACATGCCTTTTGTAAATTAAAACAAATTAAATAAAAATAAAAAACACATCAAAATCTATCAATTTTTTAATTTACAAAAGCCTTTTGTAAATAAAAAAATATAAAATAAATCAAAATCTATTAATAATTTAATTTACAAAAACCTTTTGTAAATAAAAACACAATTATAGTTAATAGAGTGACTCAGTGGCATCCGGCTTTTTAAAAAATTGAATAAATTATAAAAAATAAACAAAATTAAAAAAATAAATCAAAATCGATTTATTTTTTTAATTTACAAATGCCTTTTGTAAATTATAAAACATTAAATAACTTTAAAAAAATAAATCAAAATCTATCCAATTTTTAGCCTTTTGTAAATTAAAAAATAATAGATAGAATTAAAAAATAAAGCAAATCTATTTATTTTTTTAATTTACAAAAGCCTTTTGTAAGTTAAAAATATTAAATAAATTAAACAAAAATATACACGTCGATTTAATTTATTTATTTTATTTATTTTTTTAATTTTTTAAATTTTTAAATAGCCAAATCCACAAACAAAAAGAAATCTATTAATTTCTAAATATATTTAATTTATAATAAAAAAAATTAACTCAAATAAGTAATAATAATAAATCAAAATCTAGGTATTTTTTTACTTTACATTTTTAATTTACAAAAGCCTTTTGTAAATTAAACATAAAAATAAAATTCTATTTAATAGAGTGACTCAGTGGCATCCGGCTATTTAAAAAATTAAATAAGTTAAAAAAACATAAAATTAAAAAAATAAATTAAAATCGATTTATTTTTTAATTTACAAATGCCTTTTGTAAATTAAAAAAAACAATAAATCAAAATCTATTTTTTTTAATTTACAAAAGCCTTTTGTAAATTTTAAAAAATAATAAACAATAAATCAAAATCTATTTATTTTTTTAATTTACAAAAGCCTTTTGTAAGTTAAAA